GTACAGCCATCCAGACCCTGTGCTACAAGAAAGCCTTCTCCCCCAGAGTACAGCTCACGCTGATTTCGTAAATTTCGAAGCTGTATCCCAAGGTTTAAAAAAGACAGTATAGAGACAATAGGCTGTTGGGAAGAAGGTATGCTTGCAGAAATTGCCGGACTCAAGGTGAAGAAAAGAAAGGAGACAGAGAAACTTGGGTGTATGATGTTCACCAAAACCTGCCTGTTTGGGGTAGGAGCCAAACTGCATGAATTGCAAGTAAACTCAGTGCAGCTGCTGTTCTGCTGGGCACCTGTGTCATCCACCGTGGTGCTGGTGGCTGTGCCCTGCTTTGAGCCAGTGTTTGGAGAAGGAGGAACATTAGGTCCCTGGTCAATGTCTGCTTTGGTTATGGTGCTGCGTTCTGGAGAAATAGCTTTCATGGCGAACTTAATCGATTCGCTGGATCACTGGGAACGCTTCACCAGTCACCTGTAACATGTCTGGACACTTCAAGTTCTGCATGATTTTATTTGGAGGGTAGGTTTTATTTAAGGATCTGCTGTCAGTTAACCAGGGTCTTGGCATTTTAAATGTACATCATTTAGCATTCTTGCGTATACCCGTTTTAAACTCAGTGAACAGAAGGAACTAGGAGTAAATTGGTACAGCGTCCTTACCTGGGTGTTTGTGGAGAAAAGAAAGTTGCCTCAAGAAGATAAAAAATGTCAGATGTGCAAATTAAAGTTGCCTCAAGAAGATAATAAAAAGAAAACTGTAGAATTTGCAGTAAGCATCTGCATTCCTCACCTGGAACCTCGTGTCCTCTGTCGCTCGAGTTCATCACCTCATGGCTGGGTGCTTGTGATCCTGTCTGGTAGAAGCGGGGCGGGGTCTTCGGAAGCTGGGGGACACGGAGCTGAAGGCCCCTGGTGGGTGGTCTCATGAGAGCTACTCCAGGGTTGTCGGGCTTGCCACTTGCCCCGTGGGATGCCGTCGGCGAGGCACGTGTGACGTGCTGCAGGTGAAGAAACGGCAGTCATGCCCCTGCGGCTGGTACGAGTGGGTGTGTGTGTGACCCCAGGGCCCATGCCCTTCCAGCACCCCCGTCTGGCGCAGCCCGGCATCGCGAGACACCAGCCATATCACCCAGGTGACAGCTCTTCGGCATCACGCCAAATGCAGCCTGTCTGATCAGGGCTCTTCCTGTCCTGCCCCCCTCAGTCCCTCCCCACCCAGGAGATGGCCCCACACCCACCTGTTGTCTGTATCGGACTCGACAGTTACCAGGACACCTTCCCCACATCCGGTTAATCGTCAAAAAGCCAGACTCTGGGTGTCTTCCTTGGGTCCTTTCTGCTCCTCATCCCACAGCCAACCCATCACAGACCCTGTTGGAGCTACCTTCGAGGACAGCGGACCCAGCCTGCTCACCCCACGTCTTCCCACATGGCTACTTCATGTCCTCCAGCCTGCTCACCCCACATCTTCCCACATGGCTACTTCATGTCCTCCAGCCTGCTCACCCCGTCTCCTCCAGCCTGCTCACCCC